TTTTTTCTAATAGGTTAAAATTTTCCGATTTTTTTTAATAATGCCAATAAACCTAACAAAATCTTACAGAAATTTTTTTTTAATTTTTTTTTCTAATAATAACAATAAATTGTATAATACATATAACTGATATTGTATAAATAAAATTCTCTATTTTTTTTTTAATAATGCCAATAGTTCATTAAAGATCTTTCAGAATTTTTTTTTAAATTTTTTTCTAATCGTAACAATAGATTGATATACATGTATAAAAATTTTCCAATAGATCGCTATAGACATAACAAAATCAGAATTTTTTTAAAAGTTTTTTTATTTTCTAATGATAACAGTCGATATAATACATAAGACAGATATTACATAAATAAAATTTTTTGATTTATTTTTTAGTAATATTAATAGATCACTATAGATCTTTTTTTAAATTTTTTTTCTAATGATTGTATAATATATAAGACAAATATTGTATCATAAAATAAAATTTTCCAATTTTTTTTTAATGCCAATAGATATAACAAAATCGTATGGAAATTTTTTTTACCTTTTTTTAATAATAAAAATATTGTATATTAGAAACTGATAATTTATATCTCATTGGCCTTATAATATCATAAAAATTGAATTCTTATTGGCTGAGATATTTCAATTTGAAGTTTTAACGACAAATGTGATATATCACGTGACCGATAATATGTAACAACTGGTGTAGAAATTCAATGATCATCCAGGGTAAAATTTGCATCCAGGGTAAATGTTCAAAAATCCCGGGTGATCACCCTGGATGCATCCAGGGTAGCTACCCGGGATCTATCCAGGGTAAATCCTGGATGCATCCAGGGTGATCACCCGGGATGTATCCAGGGTCATCCTGGATTTTTGAACAGTACGGCGTTTAATAATCCAGGGTAAATCCTGGATACATCCCGGGTAGCTACCCTGGATGCATCCAGGGTGAACACCCTGGATTTTTGATCAGTACGGCGCGTCATACCTGATACAGTATTTTAGAGGTTTATCTAAAAATGTTGTTACAACTGTTACATGATATTTGATTTACGTATCATTTTCGACAAAAGATGGACAGGAATTAATAATAAAACAATTAAAACATGATCAATATGTTAATCAGTCACTGCAACTATTATGTATACGACTACGATACATTAAGTTATTTACGGTTAGTATTAGATAAAAAAATCCGTTTCTATTAAAAGCAAGTAATCAAAACTTCAATAAAAAATTAAAATTTATACCTTTTACCTAATTTACTGTATTCAAAATAATTATTTATTTTATTTAGTAATAAAAAGGTGAATTCTAATTTCAATAATTTCTGATATGAAAATTAGAATCATAGTATTTCTACCGGAATTACGGTTAATCTTGGCAGAAATTATTAGCATTTTGAAGCTTAAAGGAGCGTCCAATATCCGGATTTACAGCTGATTTCATAATATACGGGATAGTCGGGATACCCATTATTTTTACTCCATGCCGAGAGAAACTCGGTAAGATTCGGTATAACTCAGAATAAAATTAAAACTAAATTGTGTTCGAACCAGTGCTCCGAATCTAACAATATAGTTTTTACCTTATTTTCCTTATTTTGAACTTTACTGAGTTTTTACCGAATGTACAGGGTACGTCCCGTATATTATGAAATCAGCTGTAAGTTAATAATATATCTGGTTATACCAGATATCCACTGGATAGAACAAACTCACGATTGAAAATATCACGTGAGTGCACACATGAATATATTGTTTTACCGACATAAAAGATAATAAAATTGATTGATAAATTTAAATTATAAAAAGCGTTAGAAAATTTTTAAATTATTTGTAAGTATTTTATTTTTAAATTTTTTTTGATCAAGTTGATTAATTAAAAATTAAAAATTGATTAAATTACAAATATTATAACCAATATTACAACCAGTTTTTCTAATTTTTTTTCTTCTTAAATCTACTTGCGATAATTGATACAAAGCGAATCTATGATAATTTTTTATGAATTCTGATAGTAAACCAAATAATCCTTTCCTAGAAATCTAAAATACATGTATAATTTATTAAGCAATCTAAAGATTAATTAATTTACATATTTGAGAAAGTTATATTCGCTATATAAATTTTAAATTATTACTATGATGGGAGCTAATCCTAAATATTTACAAATTATTAAAAGGATGCATTATGATATCATTAGACCTTCATTGGTTGGACCATCGACTATTTGTGATTTAGTTTAGGAAATTCGACTTCCTGCATTGCTCATTTGCCTAGAACATCCAATTGGATAATTAGGAATTATCCAAATAAATTTACTGATTTTAATTATATTTTACTTTTTGAATAAAGCGAGTGGTAAAAATTTTTTAGCGTATTTCTGACCATGTCAGCTAATTTGGAAATTTATTCTGTATATTGTAATCTTATTGAAGTTCCATAGCGAGAAGCTTCGGGTTTGTCGAGGAACATAGAACTGTATAATAATAATAATTAATAGAAAAAATTATTATTTCAGACAAGTTCATGAGCATTCATTATTAATGTTGCTGTAATTGTTTTAAATAAAAGTAATGATTTACAATTGTTGATATTGATGATATCAATATCAATAATGGGGACTTAAGGGTATTGGAGATTTTAAAGATATTGAGGTTGTTGAAGTTGTTGACATGTTGAAATGCATAATTATACTATATTTTTTTTTTCTAGAGAGACCTTGAACTTTACAAAGGGCTATTTATAATGAATTTTTACTATTACAATCGTAAATTAAAGGACAATATAAATTTGTTAGTCGATTAATATGTGAGATTATAGTTTAAATTAGCAATTAAGTTACATAGTACTAGTATATCGCATATTTTATAATATCTAAAATTAGATATGTCAATCATGAAACATTTCTCCTGTAAACATTTAACGAAATTAGGTACAATGTAAAATAATTAATTGTTATTGTTTCTTTGAAATAAAGCTTTTTTAAAAGAGAATTTTAATAAACTGTAGATAATGTATCACAATTCTGTACAAATTTCAGCTTATTTTATTTCAAGAGTATGAAACTCGTTGTTGTACATTGCAGATAATTATTTTTTTGTAAAATTTTCCTGATCTGCTGGATTTTTTTTTGGAAATGATCTTTACAGTCCCGCAGCTCGCAGCAAGGTCGATTTACGAAATCAATTTCAATTAGGTGGACGGTAGACCGTATGATCTTTTCCTTTTACAGAAACTTTCTTTGTATCACGAAATCAAAAAGAATTTTTAATTTTTTTTACAATTGTTAACATATTAAATATTCCATATATATAAAAATTAGATTAAATTTTCTTTATTTTCTTTATCTTTACGATTCTATAATTAAAGTCAAAATTTTATAACATAAATAATGGCCATAGACGCAGCTGAGTTACGTAATTATGGAATTCTGAAATGAATTAATGAAATTAATATATTTGTATTAGTTACAGCGTATCAAAAGTAATTACAATTTTGTCCTTTTTATTAACTTAAGAAATTTAAAATTAATTATAAATATTGACCGAACATTATTATTATGTTTAAACATAGGAAAGGAAATATAAAACTTGCGAACATTTTAATTCTCCCATCACTGATATTTTTAAGGATTTGCTTTTTACCAATATAAAAATAATCTCATTTTTTCACTCGTTCCTTTGTAGTTTTGATAGTTTTGATGTAATGTTATAGTCTTTATAATCTTATATGATTAGTCGGTAGTCTGTTAACCCGTTACCCCGATCTTATTTCATGTCATGTTAAAGATTATTGTAAACTAACCAAAGCAACTCAAGTCCCAATAAGAAATATTTATAGAACATATATTTACAAAGCAGTGTCCTGCAAATTTTTTTTTTCATTTAATATTTTACTAATTAAATTAAAATAACAAATAATAATATACTTAAATAATAATATTTATAAATAATAATGTTTGTAAATATATTAAATTAACAATAAAATTATTTTTTACGAAATTATTTTTGTTATTTTTTTTTAAAAAAAAAATTATTACGATCAAGTTAAATAATAAATATGACGTCATATTGTTAATGATATCAGTTTTATTTTACAGTACGTTGCGAAAAGGTTTAAAACAATTCCAAATTTCCTTATATCACTTAAAAGTTTAGCCTATTTTAATTCCGCTGAAAATTCATTAAATAATGCTTACTATATTTAGTTAAACATCCTATTTATTTTTATTTATTTCGTCATATTTCGTCATTTACTATTATGGTTCATTTTTGTTGCCGATCTTGAAATCATTGCAATATAAAATAACGTTTCATCACTTTTTTTTTCTTTTTCTTTATCATTTTTAGTGATTTCTACATACGAATTAATAACATATTTTTTGTTTAATAAATTATTTATTAAAATGGATGAAATTAAACTAAGTGATGATGTATTCGAACAAATAAAAAATTTTACTCATTATCGCCTGACTGAAGAACAAGAATCGTTAATTGATAAACTAATAACAGACAAAGAATTAAAAGAACGTTATAAAAAAAATGGGTTTTGTAAAATTTGTAAACAGCCTAGACCTAATTATTTATATTGTCAGTCATGTAATTCACAATATTTTAAACAAAATTTTAAAAATTGGACAAGTGAAAATCATGACGTTGATGAATTTATTCAAAAAGCACAATTAAATGCTAAATTTTTTTTTCAAATCATAGAGTGGATTGAATATGATAAATTTGAAGATGCTGAATATTTAGCAAAAGGGGGATTTGGAATTACTTTTAAAGCGGTTTGGAAAGATGGTCCTATTCTCTATTGGGATTGTAACAATAATCAATGGAAAAGAAAAGGACAAAAAAAAGTTGCTTTAAAGTACTTACATAATTCACAAGATATTACTGTAGATTTTTTAAAAGAAGTAAGATATTTTCTTATGAATCTTTGTTAGCCTTTATAAATTTTAGACTAATTATAATTTTCTTTAAGGTTGAATCAAATATTTTAGTACGTGGTTATGTTGATTGTATAGTTCCTTGTTTTGGTATTACCAAAGATCCAAAAACAAATAATTTTATGATGGTGATGGATTTAAAAAATGGTAGTTTAAGACAATATTTAAATAACAACTTCATTTCACTTAATTGGAAGCAAAAGTTGACTAGTTTATATAATATTGCATGTGGTCTTAGAAATATTCATAATAAAGGATTTATTCATCGTGATTTTCATTGTGGAAATATATTAAGCAATTTTAAAGATTTTCTATTTATTACTGATTTGGGATTATGTCAACCAGCAAATGTTAAATCCTCTCAAAATAGAAATAAAAAAATATATGGTGTATTACCTTATGTAGCTCCAGAAGTTTTAAGAGGAAATGAATATACTCAAAAAAGTGATATTTATGGATTTGGAATCATTGCATATGAAATTTGTACAGGTTTCCCTCCTTATCATGATATAACCCATGATGATTTCTTAGCCATGAAAATTTGTCAGGGTTTGAGACCAAAATGTGATTATAAAATCCCTCAACTAGTTGCTGTTATAATTAATCAATTTTGGGATGCAGACCCTTTAAAACGACCTAATGCAGATGAATTATGCAAGTTAATATTAGAATTGCTTCATGATATTAGGGACAATAAAGTGGATTCTATAATTTATAGGCAAGTTAAAGAAACAGATGATATTAATAAAAAGTTATCTTTTTCATCACCTTTAATATCTACTGGTACTCTATCATATGAGACACATCCTCAAGCAGTTTATACAAGTAGACTGTTAGATTTTAAAAATCTTCCAAAACCCAAAAATGCAGACAATGATGATTTAGAATATTCAGGTAATTTTAATTTAAAATAATTATTCAAATCTATTTAGAGTAATAATTGTTCTTTTATTTTATAGATTCTTTAAGAATGGATTTTACTAAACTTGATATTAATTCTAAAGGTAACTGCTTTTGCTTGTGATTCTTTTGATTTATTAAATTTAGTTGATTAAACTTTTTTTTTTTATTGTAGATAAAAGAAATTAAATGCATTTTATTTTAAATGAAAATATTTAGTATAATAACAGATGGATATTTTATTACTTGAGAATAATTTTTAATGTTATTCTTGGGGTTTTGATGAAAATATAGTAAAAGCTCATATTTATCAATTATTCATTTGAAAATTAACATGATTGTAATGAATTAAAAAATTTTTTTTTTTTATTAATAAATTTAATCATATTCGATATTAATATTACTATTTATAAGTATTATGATTAGATAAGGTAAAAAAACGTTGTATCAAATTTTAGCTATGTTCATCTTAAATCTTAATTCGCAAGTTTTGAAAATTACGTTACTTCCAATTCAAGAATAAACGATTTACTATATTTTGAGTAGTTTGTTATTTAACCAAAAAATTTCTCATATGTATGATATTACTTAAAATACCTTTAAATGTTATATACATAATTTTTTTTTTTTTTAAGAAAATAGATTCATTTTTATTACTCATTTATTTTACTATACAAATATTACAATTATCATTATAATTAAACATTAAACCATTAAATCATTAAATAAAATTTGATTATAGTAATTTATTATTACTTTAGCTTTTTGTAGATTAAATTTTGAATAATCCAAAATCTTACCAACACTGACAGAATTTATATATTACTAAAAAGAAATAAGTTATAGTGTTGAATATTATTTACTTAAGCGGAAGGACATATCTATTAACATTTCTTACAATAAATAAATACCTAAAAACATTATAATATTATCTATCGCAAATTACTAATTATCGTTAAAAATGAATATAAAGGATGAATTTCTTGAAACCTAAAAATTTTGAATAATATACAATATTTTACACAGAAAGCACCAAATACAAATACAAGCTTTTATTATAATATATATAGTAACTATATAATATTACAAAATAATAAAATAATATTATTAACGTGCAATACAATAATGGGAAAATTTTTGCCAGATAAATAGTTTATTCGTGTAAGGGTTATAGGATATATTAATCACTAAGCAATGATATTTTATTAAATCACATAATTTGCGGGAGGAATTTATTATAATATTTAATATGGGACTACGCATGACTCAAGAACATCATGCCTGGAGACTAGCATCAAACATCTAACGCAGGACGTAATGGCCATACGCTAGTAGGGACGCGCTTGACTTGCCTACCTGAGTAACTGAAACGAGTCGAACGAGTCGTGTATCAGGATTTTAAATAATCAAAATTTTAGATATTTATATACACTAAATACTAATCACAAAAGTAAGATTTTTTTTATATTATTTAAATAATACATTGCTACAATTATAAATCATATAAAGAAATTAGAAAATATTAAAAACCACATATCTATTAAAGATTTTTTCTTGGATTTAATAATGATCTGGAAATTTCATTTCGCCACTTTAAATTATATATGTTGTATACATAAAATCAATTTAAAACATGAAATCGAACTATGGATTATTAGTTTTCGTCATTATTTAGAATCAAGCTGCGTGAGATCATATTTATCTTTATTTAAATAAATAAAATTATCCTAGTACATTTGAGGTTTTAATATTGAGGTTTATTGCTGTTGTTTGATTTTATTTTGATTCAAGAACTTACATTATTATTAATGCACAGCCGAAAAAAATTCTAATGTTAATCTTAAAACTCATTATCTTTCGCATTTAGCTGAAGAAAAACATTCTTCGCCAATAAAGGTCAAAAATATGGTTATAAACAATTATTAATTACCTTCATAATAAAAGACACAAATTATTTTTCAACTCAAAATGCTAATGTTTAGCATAATAGTTATGGAAACAAATTGTTATGACTAACTTTTATAGTAAAAAGAAAACAAATAAACAAGGCAATCCTTTTTTTTCAAAAAAACATCACTATGTTCGAAACCAAAAGATGAAAATTATATATTTCACACTAAAAGTTTCGTTGTAACCCTTCATTATTGTGATTTTAAAAACACACCAAAGATTTTTAGACATACAATTTTTTCCAGTAATAGAAGCACAAAATAACTATCCAAATAATGAGCATATACATATTTGTTTCATCTTTGTAAATTATAATATATCCTTAGCACATTAGCTATTAAAGAGAGATAGTTTAGTTAACATATAAACATAACATAGATTAAGTATGAATTAAATTACTCATATAATCATATTATATAGAAAAAGATACTATTTCAGATTGGATTAAAGTTTGTATTCTACATGTAATTCAACATACATATATACAAGTAATTATAAATAATAATCAATAACTTTTTTTTTACTATATTCATCAACATCAAGTTAAAGGTGCACTCCATTACAGGATTTTCTTCATTACTTCATTAGTAATGTAAATTTTGAAATGTATCTATTTGTAAAATTAATCCAATTTCGCGTAAATTTATATAGATTTCAAAAATCCTACAAATTAACATTTGTCATATTGTCATATTTAATAATAATAAACAAATAACAATGCTTTTATACACTTATGATTTAGCAACTGCTATCAGTAAAATAAAGTAATGTATATTTTTACTTTTATCCTTTTGAATAAACTTATCCTGCTACTTTTACAAAACTTACAATAATAAAATTATTTAAATAAAGAATATAAATCACGAATATTTTCAAATTTCTAAAGAAAATTTAACAGTGCTAAAAATCTAAATTCCCTTAAATTTGTTTGAAGAAAATCTAATTAACAATATTTCTTTACTGGTTTTCAATATTTTCTCATATATTCTCCTTTTATTTACTATTGATAATTGATGTAATTAATTAATTAATAACAAGAATGTTTATTTCAAAATTGATAGTAATTGTTATCACCATTCCAGTACTAATTGCCAAATGAATTTTCCAAGATTTTTCTTGCGACTGTTTATATTCAAACCTTGATAATCACTGGGTTTTTTTTAAAAAAAGTAAAATAAAAAAAAAAGAAAGATAAATGTTAATCATAAGTTTCTCTTCATAATACAGTATAAGATAATAAGTATAATATATACAAAATTATTTTACTTTGATAGGAGTTTCTTCTTCAGGTTCTTTAACATCAAAGGTGGAAAAAGTATTCCCACCCACAGCATATCTTTTAAAAAGGAAAATGAGAATGAATTTCTTATTTGATAATATTATTAGTTATTATAAACAATTTTAAAATTATGATAATATAATCAGACCTACTCGATAAGCAAATTTATCATATCCACGTATCCCAAATAAATAGAATCTGTCATCAGACTTCTCACATCATATCGATATGTACTATATGTATAGTGTACCGTAACCGTCTAGCACATGTATTTCTTACGTATCGAATCAATTCCACAAACAAAGACGTTTTACCCAAAGAATTATTAAAAGAAAGCGGAATGGTGAATAATAATGATTTAAGCAGATTGGAAGTAGCTTTCTTGAAAATAATTTAGAAACGGTAAAATAGGTTTTAGATTAGGCCGAAAATATCAATGTGCTAATGGTAAGATTATAGAATTTTTAGCAATTATATTTTAAACCTACAATTAATTTTGATTGTATCTATTTAGGTCACTACTTTAAAAATAATGGAGGATTAGTAATATCTCCAATTTTAGGAAACAATGCATTTAACGTATATAATACATAGTTACGGTACATTTCGCCGAAAGCCATTTCGCCGAAAGGACGTTTCGCCGAAAAATAGGACCAACATTATGCAGAATTATAAATAACTCAGGCCAGAGATTATTTTTCGGTGAAATGACCCGATACCTAAAAAAACATATATGTCACTCTATCTTTGTTAATTTTGTTCCGCTTTGAATTCAACTTCATATCCTAAAATTTTTAAAAAAAATTGAATCTTTTTTTTTTAAAAAAAAAAAAAGATATACCCTTGAATAAATTAATCTCGTAACCCTTGCTGCATCATATCTAAGTCCATATGGTAAAATAAAAATTTCATAATCATTATTTTCAAATTTAGTTTTATTGATGTTGCCTCTTCTTTTCTATTTCCTAGGTTCATATACACCAGATTTGGATGCCTTGGACGACAATTGCGTTCACGTCTTTTCTCTGCATATTTCGGGAGTGTTTAGACGTTCTAGTACGAGTAAACGAGCGAGACACTTAAGTTTTTCGAAACTTCTCTCATATATTGTAGGGTCAATTCTGAACATTCTAGTGAATGAGCTTTTGATCTATTTATGGCAAAACAAAATTTAATTGAATAAATGAATATATGAACTTATTTTAACAGAAGACGTAAAAAATCACTTGTATTACAAACCTCAAAACCTCTTTCAGTATATATATATATATTTTGCCAACATCATTTCATATGACGGAGATCTTCTGGTTAAATCAATCACGTTACATTGACCTATACAACAAAGTTCAGGGATCATTAAAAAGCAAAATCTATGTAATTAAGAAAATGTCTTACCCAACACTATAGAAATCAACATCAAAGCCGGTAAGAACCTCTGAAGGAGAATTATATAATCGAAGTATAATCTAATAAATTCAATTAATAAATAATATTGTTAAATATGGAAAGTTTGATCTTTAAATTAAATATTCATCGATAATCATACTTGAATATGCCAGATATTGACTAATAATAGTCACACAGTGTTTACTTCGAATACACGTAACTTCCCAAGGAATAGCTTTACAAACATTTTCATAAATCTCTTCCATTTTTTTCTTAGCTGCTTCCTCGTCCAATCCATAAATGAAAAGATTGATATCATAGTTTTGAGGCAATATTATGTGGACTATCAACATGAAGGCACGACAACACTGAGCCACCCGTTCATATTGTGAGATAAAAAAAATTCTCAATTCTATTTTTTTTTTTATTTTTAAGTGATTCGAATAAATTGGCATACCTGGATGCTCGCTAATTTTTTTTTATAATAAAAATCAGAAATATATTTTAATCAATTTTGTAAATATCATTTACAGTATATCATTTTCATGTTTTCTTTTTTAAAATAAATAAATAAATAAATTTCTCGTGAATAATATCCAAATTCTTATGAAATATTTCATTTCCACTGAAACAAATAGCAGGATCACTATGTTTTAGTCTTTTTACTTCCGGTAAAGGCATAATGTACATTCCATATCACCATCATTTCCGGCTTCATTATTGAAAAATCTATTCTTAATTTTCCAAATATTTATATTTCATATAAGTTAATCAAATTCAGATATGGTTGACGTATTAATTTTAATTGGAAGGAGTTAATATTTTCAGGTTTTAAAGCAAACATTTGACGATAAATTGATTCTTCTTTCAAAGATGCTCGAATGCCATTATCACTATTTCGAAAGGAAGATATTAAATATTTCACTACAGTTTGGTCTTTCACATAAATTGAAGTCATCACTATTATTGATCAATAATGAGAGAGACAAGGGGTGATCATTTCAAGTCGGACCAATTTACTTTATCAGCTGACAGCGATCACGAAATAATTTGAAACACTTGATATTTTCTTTTATTTTATTATTTAGCGCTAAATTATTATACGAATGATTCAATGAAAACCGTTTATGGATATATGAATTATTTTAACTAAATAAAAATTTGGCCGCAGGCGCAGTGAATTTGTGGCTTACTAATTCTAAACTCGGCAGGTAGTAAGTAAGTAACGGAAATTGGCTAAGTAAGTAACGTAAAATTACTGTTTTAGGTCAATTTACGTTACTCCCCTTATATAAGGCACGGAACGTAAAGTCAATTATATTTACTTTACGTTACTCCCCTTATATAAGGT